AACTGGAAACTGTTTCATGTTCTAGCTATATCAGTAACAAACGAGTTAAGCAACTGGAAACGGTTTATGTTCTAGCTATGTCAGTAACACATGAATCCAGCAACTGGAAACGGTTTATGTTCTAGCTATGTCAGTAACACATGAATCCAGCAACTGGAAACGGTTTATGTTCTAGCTATGTCAGTAACACATGAATCCAGCAACTGGAAACTGTTTCATGTTCTAGCTATATCAGTAACATACGAGTTAAGCAACTGGAAACTGTTTCATGTTCTAGCTGTATCAGTAGTAACACAAGGGTTGAGCAACTGGAAAGGGTTTAATACTCTATTTATGTCAGCAACACACGAGTCCAGCAACTGGAAACAGCACACTCGAAGCTTATATGTGTGTATTGCTACAGCAACCGCATATCCATTATAAATACATCACCATAAGTCTCACTTTGCTTATACTGGTTAGTTAACGGCTTGTAATAAAAGTAAGTTTTATATACTTTAATAATACAAAGGAGAAAAAGGTTTAATTAAAAAACAAAATCAACGTATCCTTAAATGCCTGAAAATGCCTTTTTCTGTTGTTAACAACCTTTTTCTATATGAAAAACGATATATGTAGCAACAAACGCCTTTTGTAACGTGAAGATAAAATACTTTACCTAGAGTCATCATTTTAACAGTCGCATCCTTCATCAAACACAAACTATCCTTAGACGTCAAACTGGTGGAAAAACGTACTCTTGACTAAGTTCCATAGCTATTTCCCTCTCGCACAAACTTTCAAGTTATGTTAAAATTCAGTTGGAGTACACTTGTGTGAGAATTTTCTCTTTTCAAGGTGCAAGATACTGATTAGCTTGGTAACCAGATCCGTCAATACCCGCCCCTTGTTTGGGATAACCCGGGTCTCTAGAACTTGATAAAAGTAGCGAAATGAATCCGACCACTTCATCATGTTTATGGTGTCAGATATTCCAACGTATACACGTCGAAACTTGATATCGCCATATTTGTTTGCATGTCCACGTGTTATAATCGTCGCAGACAAAAGAATGAATCAGACACGACCGTAAAAAAAATAAAATAAATAGCGCAGCGTTTGTCGGAAGTTACAGCACTTTGGATATCAAGAGCACTTGGATAGCGAGTCATTCAAAACAACCTTACGAATGTGCACGTAGTATCAACACAACTTAATACACGAGAACGTACTTAGGGGGCTTTCCTGGATCCTCTTTATATGTTGAAATATTACTTGTTAAGACATTTGGCTGATTCCCTGAAAAAATTACATTAAAAAATTCAAAATTCACCAGTTTATTCAATTATTAAACATTTTATGCTGTTGAATTAAGAACTGGAAAGTAACCACGATATCTGTTAGATTGTAGGATAACCAGGCCATATATATATATATATATATATATATTGTAGGATAACCAGACCATATATATATATATATATTGTAGGATAACCTTGGTATATTTCATACTGGAGGACAACTGTGATGTCTTACATTATAAGGAGACGGTAACATGTGTTATATTGTAACATAACCTTGGAACGTGTTCTGTTGGAGGATAACTGTGATGTCTTACATTATAAGGGGACGGTAACATGTGTTATATTGTAACATAACCTTGGAACGTGTTCTATTGGAGGATAATTCTGATGTATTTTACGTTATAAGATAACCATAACGTGTATCGTATTGTAGGATAACCATAACATGTATCGTATTGTGGGATAACCATAACATGTATCGTATTGTAGGATAACCATAACATATATTTCATTGTAGGATAACCATAACATGTATCGTATTGTAGGATAACCATAACATGTATCGTATTGTAGGATAACCATAACATATATTTCATTGTAGGATAACCATAACATGTATCGTATTGTAGGATAACCATAACATGTATCGTATTGTAGGATAACCATAACATGTATCGTATTGTAGGATAATCATGACATGTATTGTATTGTGGGATAACCATAACATGTATCGTATTGTAGGATAACCATAACATGTATCGTATTGTAGGATAATCATAACGTGGATCGTATTGTAGGATAATCATAACATGCATAGTATTGTAGGATAATCATAACGTGTATCGTATTGTAGGATAACCATAACATATATCGTATTGTAGGATAACCATAACATGTATTGTATTGTGGGATAATCATAACATGTATTGTATTGTAGGATAACCATAACATGTATTGTGGGATATATATATATATTATAGATTACACTGGCTGGGGCCTGGCATGGCCAGGTGGTTAGGGCGCTTGACGTGCAATCCCCGTCTCACCAAACATGTTCGCCCTTTCAGCCGTGGGGGCGTTATAATGTGACGGTCAATCCCACTATTCCTTGCTAAAAGAGTAGCCCAAGAGTTGGTGGTGGTTGGTGATGACTAGCTACCTTCCCTCTTGTCTTAGGGACAGCTAGCGCAGACAGCCCTCGTGTAGCTTTGCGCGAAATTCAAAACAAACAAATAAAATACACTGCCTGGTGTTACATTAGAAAATAACCGTGACGTATGATATATTGTAAGATAAACTTTAATAAGTGTTTACTTGTCGCACTGCATTATTAGAAATTGAATATATACTATATGCTTGATAGAAGTGAAGGTATTTTGAACAGCAAACAAGTAGTTCTGACAATTGGTTAAGTAGTTCTGATTGTTGATTAAGTAGTTCTGATAGTTGGTTAGGTAGTTCTGACAATTGGTTAAGTAGTTCTGATAATTGGTTAAGTAGTTCTGATAATTGGTTAAGTAGTTCTGATAGTTGGTTAAGTAGTTCTGATAGTTGGTTAAGTAGTCCTGACAATTGGTTAAGTAGTTCTGACTGTTAGTTAAGTAGTTCTGATAATTGGTTAAGTAGTTCTGATAGTTGGTTAAGTAGTTTTGACAATTGGTTAAGTAGTTCTGATAGTTAGTTAAGTAGTTCTGATTGTTGGTTAAGTAGTTCTGATAATTGATTAAGTAGTTCTGACAATTGGTTAAGTAGTTCTGACAATTGGTTAAGTAGTTCTGATAGTTGGTTAAGTAGTTCGGATCGTTAGTTAAGTAGTCCTGATAGTTGGTTAAGTAGTTCTGATAATTGGTTAAGTAGTTCTGATAGTTAGTTAAGTAGTTCTGATTGTTGGTTAAGTAGTTCTGATAGTTGGTTAAGTAGTCCTTACAATTGGTTAAGTAGTTCTGACTGTTAGTTAAGTAGTTCTGATAATTGGTTAAGTAGTTCTGATTGTTGATTAAGTAGTTCTCATAGTTGGTTAAGTAGTCCTGATAGTTGGTTAAGTAGTTCTGATAGTTGGTTAAGTAGTTCTGACAATTGGTTAAGTAGTTCTGATAATTGGTTAAGTAGTTCTGATAATTGGTTAAGTAGTTCTGATAGTTGGTTAAGTAGTTCTGACAATTGGTTAAGTAGTTCTAACAACTGGTTAAGTAGTTCTGATAATTGGTTAAGTAGTTCTGATAATTGGTTAAGTAGTTCTGATGGTTGGTTAAGTAAGTTCTGATAGTTGGTTAAGTAGGTCCTGATAGTTGGTTAAGTAGTTCTGACAATTGGTTAAGTAGTTCTGATAATTGGTTAAGTAGTTCTGATAGTTGGTTAACTAGTTCTGATAGTTGGTTAAGTAGTTCTGATAATTGGTTAAGTAGTTCTGACAATTGGTTAAGTAGTTCTGACAATTGGTTAAGTAGTTCTGATAGTTGGTTAAGTAGTTCTGATAGTTGGTTAAGTAGTTCTGATAAA